TGCTCCGTAATCGCTGAACCGGAAGTGTTAACCAACTGACTCTTAGGAGCTTCCGGATTGAGAACTCGTAATGAGACATGCTGCCTGATCCTACAATCTAGGCGCTGGGACGTCCTTCCTATGTAGTTGCTACCGCAACCACATTTAAAAAAAAAACAATCCATATTTTTTCCTTGCAATATATATATATATATATATATATATATATGCGTGTAGTTTATGGTTGCTAAGCAGTGTTACTTTTTAAGGCAAATCTCTCTCCCTCGCTCTCTCTATCTATCTATCTATACAGGATTCTCTAAACTTTGTATATTAGGATAAAAATAACAAAATGTTGTATTAATTGAGATTTCCTTCTACCTTAAGTAATTTTGAAGGCCATTGGGCCTTGAATGGAAATATGATGCCAGCTTTTGAAACAGAAGCTTCAAATAGCAAAGGATGACTCGTGTGAAAATTTTGTTATTCAAAAGTCTATGCCATACTGAACACATGATTCGAACATCCCATTAAACAAAGCCTCGCTTTGTCATAACCCAAATAACCTAAGTTAAATGATTATTGATTTCAGCATCTCGGATTTTTGTAACAGATGATAGAGTATCAAATTCCGTCTTTAATCTGATCAAAGATTATTTGTATCTAAACTGGCAACATCAACAAACAAAGTTACTTGCACTAGCGCACATTAACCACGAAAAACACCTACGTATAATATCCACACCCTTAACAATTTAAGGTTAAATTTAGACATCAGTAGTACTCGAGCGTCCAAATTGTCAATAATTCTTGACAAAGCTACATAGAGGAATCAAATAAAGTTATCATATTTCCATTAAGGGATGCAGTTGAGACCATTCCCAAAATAAAAATATACATCTATGGTTTGAAAATCATGAATTGAAAACAAGGATACAAAAAAGAAAGAAAAACAAGAGAAGGAAGAATGCAAAGGAAATAATTAACAAAGGAAAAAAAAAGAAACTAGTTAGCTCTTTAAGAATGCAATATCTCCAAAAAAATTGCAAACAAAATTAATAAAGTCAGGCAACATAGATAATGTGCTAAAATATTGAGAAAAGCTAAAAAATCACAATAAATTATACAATCAAAAACGAACACAGAAGAAATGTCCTGGTCTCAATAAATACTTTGGATCGCATTTCAGATCTGACAACACTAAACTAGAGATTCCTAGAGAAATAGGACATATATCAATATATATCTGTGACGGGTCTACACCTGGCCCAGGG